AAGAGAATACAAAAATAGGAATAAAAATCATTAGAAATGATCCAGAATTTCATTAAACAGAATGATAGGATTTCAACAATGTTTGTTGCACCGCATATTGTCTTCAAATTAGTTGTTCACATAACCAGATATAAGCCTGTAAGTTTGGTCAAGAATTAGAAAATATTAAAAAGGAGAGAGAAATAATATTTGAACATTAACTTATCCTTTCAATAGAATAGTAGAAATGAGCAGTGCAGTTATCCATGCCACCCCACGCATATGCATATATATTTCTTTTTCCCTTCCTTTTCTCCTTTCCCTTGTCCCAGTTTTTCCTTCCTCTGACCACTCAGATAGGACTATTTTCCACACAGAACACAGAAATTAGGTGTAGTTCTGTTTTGTCTGAATGTTTCACTTTTATAGACTAATTTCAATATATAGCGTACATGTACTCCATGTTCCTTCCCTTTTACAGTATCCATTTTACCTTTTACATCCTCTTTACTCTTTCAGGTTCTTACACCAGGGAGACAGTATAATGTTTACATATGTAGCATGCTCTCTAGTTGTAGCCACTTACTTATATATGTCTCTAGTTTATCTTATTTATAGCTGAGTAAAAATCCATTGTGCAAAAATACCACATCTTTTTATCCATTCATCAGTTGATGGGAAAATCATCTAGTAGTGCTACCCCAACTTTTGCCCCATAGTTCTTCTAGCACTAGGAGATGATCATTATTTCTGCATGAAGACTGCTGTAGGCCTTTCCAAACTGACTGCATGATTAGGGGAAAATAAATATCTTTCTGCATAATAGATATCATGAAACATGACTCTTTCTATGAAATTTAGCAAAGAACATTATTGAATTTTAGAGTCATTCTTTGGCCCCTTGATTCCCATTAGAAGTTTGAATGATGTGGAAATACTCAGAAATTGTGGTCAATAGTTATAGTATTCCATTTCATTTTGCTAGGTTATTTAACATAGTATGAATTTCACAATATCTCAGGATCTGAGTTTGCATACACAATGAAAATGCAGTATAAATTTCATAAGGTTATTTAATTGAAGTGTAAAAGAGGTTGTTTTCAAAATATACAGGATTATGCTTGCCATTCATTGGATGTGTAATAAATGTCATAGTCTGCAACTTATCTCTCTTCTTCACCAGTGTATCATTTGTTTGACTTATTAAAAGAACTGTGATTTATATTTGCAACTGAAATACATGTAGATATTATCTTAGGAGATGGTGAAGAAAGTGCTGAAATCTGACAGTAAATCACCCCAAATTAATGCAGGCTGGATAAGCTTAAATGTGAGCAGTTAACTAGAAAATATGCATGTCTCTGTGGTGAAAATCAGTTTAAGGAAAAGTTCAAAATGAAATGGGGATCAAACATTGCAGATTCCACATGTCAGTGTGATCATATGATAATTATTTTTCTGTGATCTGCAGGTCCATTGGTATTGTTGCAAGGGACAGGTTTTCATCTCTTTTTGTCCCTGAGTACTATTCCATTGTGTGTATAGACAACAATTTCTTTATCCATTCATTCATTGATGTGCACCTAGGCTTTTATATGTTACATTTTGTAAATTTTTATGACTGAATCTGAGTATGTGCATATATTTACAATAAGCTAACTTTAATCCTTTGGAATGTGCCTATTAATCCTGCTATGTCAACTTCTTTGCATTAAGAAGTTCCCATTTGATTAGGAGAGCCTGCTCTTGTGTGTGTCTAAGTAAGGTCTGAAGGTGCGAGCTTGGCTCTATCTACTGCACCATGTCCATTCCTCTCTGGTGCTGTTTTCCTACCCTGCTCCCTGGCACCTTGAATTCATCAGTTTAGCTCCACCAAACCCTTATGGCATGATATTTTTTTCTTGAAGCTAAATTGGTTGAACACAGAATTCTCAAGAAATTAAAACGACTAATGAGTATATGAAAAAATGTTCAACACTTTTATTCATAGGGAAATGATGACAAGGACAAATCTGAGATTCCTTCTCCAATAAAAATGGCTATCATCAAGAATGCTAAAAGAAGGGGGCAGGGAGATGCCTCAGAATAAGCGCTTGCCTGGCAAGTGCAAGGGCCTGAGTTCAATCTTCAGTTCTGTGAACAAACAAACAAACAAACAAACAGACATAATACAAAAAGTAGTAAATGCTGGTAAGGGTGTAGAAAAATAGAAGCCTTCTATACTGTTGTTGAGAATGCAAATTAGTACGTTTATAATGAGCATCAGTAGTTTCCTCAGAAAATTAAAAAAGATAGAAGTACTTTATGACTCTGAACAATTTTCTTGATAGCCTTAGCACTATGTTATTTTCTGCATTCAATTTTTATCTCTTTCAACTAGACAATCCATTGAAAATGGAGGCAATGTCTAATTTTTTCACAGCTGCCTTTGCAGAACCTGGACAGACTGTAGCACAGAGTAAATGATGAATATATATGTAGTGATTAAATAGTCACTATGTTATCTTACCACTCTGAAGTCTAAATTCATATTTAAAAGGTGGTCCTGCTAACTGGAATCTTTCTGAAATTGATGAATCTCTTTTCTTGGTAATACATTTTAGTGGAAACTTTTAGGTTAGTTTAGTATAACAACCAGGGTCTTTAGCTGATGGTACCAAATCCTGTGTAGCTAGTTTAAGCACACAGGGTTTCCTAGGTGCAGTTATATGGACCACAGAAACTGTGGAAGAGTTAAATCACCGTATTGCCAGGAAAAACTTGCTGAAGATCAACATGATGACAGGAATTCCCAACTCTTCTGGGACTGAGAGTCTGAGCAGCTGTAAAACTGAAGCCTTCCTGCTTCTCTCACCTCAGAGACATTCAGACTCTTTGAACACAAAAAGAACACACCCTCAAATCACTAATTTCCAATTCATAGACTTGCAAATATGTTTTGGGTTAGGAGAATCCAAGCCCCTTATGTGTTCCTAAGTGGCTTCCATGATAGCAAATGGATCAATACATTGAAATTGAGTGGCAGGGTCAAGGAGCACTTTTGAGGTTTTGGGCAGCTACACACTTCTGGCCTTCATTGCAGCTGGTGATCATGTCTCCACATAGAATTTGTTCATGTCACCAGGAATTATTTCTATGTAAATTGTGAATGCCATGTTTCTTTTTCCACATACAGGAAGAATGGCAAATATAAAG